GTAAAGACCTGCAGTCTGCTGTCACGAGGCTCTGTTTCTCATCACACAAAACTTAATTTATGATATTACCGAGTTTCAACAGACCATCTTTGTTTGTACGTCGGGAAAACTTTATGCTGGGACTCAATAGTAATAAACTGTAATCTATACTGGATCACGAACAAACCAATGAGTTTGTTAGTCGTGTAAATTTTAATCAATAATTGATATTCAGTCACTTGCAGCTGTGCTTCTCGGTGCAAATGTTACATAAAAAGAATGATTTGCATGAAATCAGTCCAAGAAGAAGACATTAAGAAAACTTCCTGATTTCTGTATGTGACACGTGTTCGTCTCTGTAGGATCCTGACTCCCAGATGCCGGACATACTTTTACTATGGAGGCGAAACACTGCCTCCCTCTGGCTGCTGCGAGCACAGACACCCACACGGCACAGACATAACACCGCCTGCACGCTCTCGTGCTATTAATTCTTTCATTTGTGGATTATTGTTCTGTCTGCTGGTTTCATTGTAACCACAGTGACAAAGGCTCCTGAACACGAGCCCAATCAACAGTCAGCATTTTGTTTAACTGCTCTCATAGAAACACTTAAAGTTTAATCAGTTTGACTCCCGTCTTTTGTACTCAGAGGTCTGGATCCTGGATTTAGAGGGGACAACACTTCCCGTCTGTTTTGGAAAGTTAGAAATCTGTCCCCACATGCCAGAAACCGTTGGCTGGTCACAGAAACTCTCAGAGTGAAGACGAAACCTTAAATGGTGCAAAGGGAAGTTAATGCAGACCGCTCGAGCTCGGTGACCCGACCGTCGTTTCTGTAGTTGTGACCTCTGAGTGATTAGACACATTTACCTCTACAGAGGAGCTGCATGGTTGTAAAGCAGCCCACATCAAAGCCATTAAAACCTTATATCGTGATGACATTTCTCTATTTCTTTGGTGTAGAGGATCATTTTGGGATGTAACTCCTGTCTGCTGTAACTATAACAACCACAGTAAACGCACAGAGGATAAACAAACAGGCTTCACAGAATAATGGAGGCAGGTTGACAGAAGCTGAAGAAGGCGTGCCACTACTGTAACAAACAATTAACTAGGGGTGGGGGGAAAAATGGATACTGTGTAGCATGGTGATATTTTGTTTGCTAATAATGTATGGATACAGGGACAGCAGAAATCGATA